CTGGTTAAGCGACCTGCATGAGATCCATACATGTACCTAGAGATCGTGGAGGATGCACTGGAGATCCCGACTGCAGGCGCAAGCACCCAAGGTCTTTGGTAACAGCCTAGCCACAAGGGGAACCAAGTACACAGACTACTGTATCTTGCTGCGAGTCTGTAGCTAAGACTACGGCTACATTTGCTGTTTCTAGTCATTTTAGCCAAGACAATGTCGCAAGCATAGTGCTAAGGTCAACAATCCGAATTGATTGTTTCTGCATTTATCGTCGCAAGGGGTTGACTCAAGGGATACTCCAGACGCGCTCGTAAGGCTGTGTTGAACATGCACATTCTGCCAACTCATGATACCAGGAGCTGCAGGTGGATGCAGTAACTCGTGCGTCCTCAGGATACCGATCGATCTTAGCTAGTCTTCTCCCGGAAAGAGATTGTTGCCCCGTGATCCAGTCATAAATTATTCGCTTGTCTTGTCCTCTAGCTCTATACAAGTCCATACCATGCCTACTTACGGGGCTAGGTATCTTACCAAGCAATATGAGGCCGTTGTAAGTAGGCACCGTATCTCATAGCAGTATCTGATAGAAGGCATACAGAGTGTTGACAAACCCAACGAGAACATATCGATTCATCACGCTCGCCGCAACCGGGATTTGAAGTTGAGATTATCTCTTGACAAGCGCTTACAGCGGCAGAAGAAACAGGGTTTAAGAGAAAAGAAAAAGCAAAGAGTGCCTATGTGATAATGGGCCCCTAGATAGGAAGTGAATGGGAAGGGTTGAAGGATTGAAGGATTGAAGGATTGAAGGATCTCTTGACGGATTATCCTAGTCAATTTCTCTTATTCACTCACTCCTTCACTGGCTACATCATTTCAAGCTAGGCAAATGATTCAGGAAGAGATAAGCATGAGGTTCTATTAGATGATTCAAACCTCCACCATGTCGTACCAGCAGACAGGCACGCGGATTATGTATGTATGAATGTTACCACCTTACTTAGAAGGAGCATTGACTGACTTATTCGACCAAGGCTAAGGTGAGGTTGCCATCTATAGACTATTAAGTACCAACTTGTAAACTACTAGAGCCATAGCATCAGATAAAATCCCCAAGGAAAGATTCGCTAGACTAAAATCACTAATGCAACCTGGAACACACTCACCTGCATTTCAATATTAAATTCGGCCCCGACACCAGAGGAGCACAGCCCACTACCAGACCCAGGGACCAGGGCTCACGAGTCCAAGCACATATTCGACGAGATCTCGATGCCGGGTCCAGATGGCTGTATCCATAGACCAAGGTAATTTGTACCTGTTGTCTGAACATGAACTTGTGATGCAATGACATCACGATATAAGTTCGACTTCTTTGTATTCCAGAATGTGTGGATCTCAAGGCACAATAGATAGTAACAGTAAAAATACTGTTCCAGGCTTTCATCCGGAAGATATTTTCTCGAAACACAGATGAGTGATGATTGACCTCAATCTCTATTTACCAAGGATTCAGAATTCAATGCTGCGCCTGATGCGCAAATCAGAAAAGAAAGGAGAATCAAGGATCAGCGTACAGAGTCGTGTAACTCACCACAGCAGGCTTAGCTGTAGGCTATCCGAGAGCTTAAAACCTATTTCAATGCCAGGATCTTCTTGGGATAATACCTAGGATAATAGGAAAAAGGAATACCCTAAGGTACCTAAGAATTTCCAGGTCTGACCAATGATATCGCTTAGATCCACAGGATCACACGGGATTGGTTTTCTTTTTGAAAAGTCACTGCAGATAATTCATCTTTTCTTTCCGTTGCAGATTACCACTTACAGAGTTCCACCTCAGCATTACCAAAGTACGAGGTTTCGGATCTCGGTAGTGCGATAGGTCACATCTTCAGCGCGACAACAGCGACAAAAACAGGGCGCGAGGATCACTCGAAATCCATATTTCTACCAGCTGAGATTGGCTGAGGAAATGCTGCGAAACATGAAAATAAGTACCTACTTTTGAGTTGCAGAGTTGCAACACTCGCAGTTCGACTCGCCTCTCACATAGCGGTCTAGAATTTGAATTGCCCATTCTACTGTCTACGTACATATGTATGTTTGAGTTGGAGCTTATATGCAACTCATTTGGCATACATTAGGGCACTTTTACAGCATGCAGGTCGCCGATTCTGGTGTTCGGCCACATCTGCCATGAAGTTTGTGCCATACCCTTAGCGCAAAGGACTAGTCAAGGCAACTGATGATGTGTCAACCCTTTTTGGTCCTCCTGCTTCATATTGCACAGAGAACCACCGAACTGGGACGCTCGTCAAGTGTTGAACAAAGTACTCCTCACTCCGGCTTTTCTCAGGAGCTTTATTTTGGGCAATTTCGCCATGCGGGTCCCATTCGTCTGGTGCTCACCTGCATTTCAATTGATGCCCGATGATGTAGCTGAAACTCTGGGACACTTTCCTAATCTAACCTCAGCAGAAACTCCAAAGTCATGAAGCGAAGCAAAGGTACCTCGGAAGCTAGTCAATCTTACAACTTCGACTACGGAGTACTGCATTCATATTCACAACAGATCTATCCCGAGGTACAAGGTCCGAGATCGACTGCAGAGTAGGATGATTTAACCTGATTGGGTCTCAGAGAGGCCGCGCTACTGCCGTGTGCCAACTGGCGAGCACTTCCAATACCCCCAGCAGGACTGTTATGAGACCACGAGAAAAGAGGAATAATCCGAAAAAAAAAAAAAAGAAAACACAGTGCTAGCCAAGGGACCACCTCCCAGCTCAGTCGTCTATTTCCTCATCCTGACAGATACAGTTGCCGAAGTGTTTCTGAAACTAAGGTCCAATCCGCCTTGTCCATCTGGCACAGCCCAAGACGAAGAGTCCTCAGGAGATGCGTGGAAGGATCCAACAACAACTGCATGCATGCACAACATTCAAATCAATCCCATCTCGTCAGCTGGATGGGCCCACTGGGGCCAAGCACTAGGTAAACTTTCAGTCTCTCGCCCCATATGCCGGCCGAGACTAACGGGGCCCTTGTTTTAGTGGCCTTGGTGACGCCTTCACTGGCAGCGTGGCATTATGGCATGGACCTTATGGTCTTGGCTGGTTTCCAAGCTGCATGTAGGGAGTATGGTAGGATCAAGACTACCGATGCACTCTGGTCTATGTGATGTCTCATGATACGACTCCCGTCCGCCACGAGGCGAGTTCTTTTGGGGGTGGGCCGGCGACAGTTTGACAATTCACTAACTCGCTCAGCCTACAACAACCTGCGGCACGGGATTTGGTGTCGACCTGATCCATCCTCGCCTACGGAGTTGCATATTTTGTTCACTGGACAGAGACGGCAACGAGGTGCAACAGACTCGAAACAATCGAGTGATTGTTGTCTGAATGATCAGGACTCAGATCAGATAATTATTCATGGGGTGTCTCTCTACAGGGGAGCTAGGTAATGAGATGTCTTGTGCACTGTTGATCTTGCTCAATATCTGGATGCCCTCATGGTGATGCTATAGTAGCGGTAAGTAACTATGCCTGTACCGTACATGTATCTGAGATGGTATCCAGTAATACCTAAGAATAACGGTACTTTGTGGTACATGCCAGGACTCCACTCCGATCCTGTCCGCGCCCATGGTGACGGCGCCTTTAGCATTTGAGCCATTGATTCCATGGCCAGGTCAATGTTACAGGACCTACGGAGTACATACTCAACACTCAGAAGGTAAACTCATGCTCGAATTATTTATACTGACACAATGATGCAGCACACCTTTATTACCTCAGATCATCGGATGTCATGTCTTGGGCGATCAGCTCCTTTTTCAACCCGAAGCTGAGGTACCTTTGGAGTAGAGCGGGTCTCTACTTTCTAGTTTCTAGCTCTCTGTCCGTCATAGGTTGAACTGCCTTCCCCAAATCTATACCCAATATCTGGGTGGGGAGTGACGTTGAAGCTTCCAGACTTCCAGACTTCCAGACTTCCCGTTTCAGCCCAGCCTTGAACCAACTCGTGAACTCCAGCAGAGCTTTCCGATTTCCCCGGCCCCATATCGCGTTCTCCTCTTTTAGGTAGTAGGTAGGCAAACACGCGGTATGTACGGCGTACAGAGTACTAGCAGTCAACTAAAACAGTACTTTCAGTTCCCATGCCTGTGGTTCCCGGCGGGTCCCAGGCTCCAAGGCTCCAAGGCTCCACCCATTTCCTTCTTCCCCCCGTTTCCCAGGGCTCACCGCTTGATCTGCTGCTGTCAACGGTCTGGCAGCATTATTACTACTACTATTACTATTACCTAGGTAGAGGAGGTACTTTGGACTTGGGTACTGTACAAGTACGATTTTTCTCAAAAATAACGATGACGATGACGATAATGATAATGAAAATAATAATAATAACAACAATACGATAATAATAGATAAAATATGCCCTCTGGATTATCATTCTACTAATTCTGCCTGATGCCTTTTTTCTTTTTGTTTCCCTGCTTCTATTTCCTCCTTCGAGGTACTTAATTCTACTTGCATGGTTGATTTATCTTCTTCGTATCCTCTTCTGCACCTCTATTGAGTCCGAGGGTCTTATTGATCTTGCTTCTGCTCAAGCTAGAGACGCTCTGCTTCCGTACATACTTTTCATCTGCTCGCTTTCTAATCCGACCTTCCTCATCTTCGGTTGCATCCCCCCAATAGAAGAAGACTGAGTGTATACCCTCTAATTGACTACTCATCTTCATCATCATTCCTCTCTTGTCTTATAATTGACTCTCATCCTCCATCCTGGCTACTCTAGGGATCAGTGTGTTGAATAATCCCTCCTACTCCAATCCTGTCCATTTGCCTTATCAATATCACTCGCGGCCTGGCTACCATATCCCCCAACCCACCGGCTCCCTCTCTCACTCTCCTCTCCCAGAGCCGTATCGGGAGAGGGGGGGCCCCGCGCCATGCCCCGACTCACAGCGACAGTCTCACGAAAGTAAACCGGAGCATATGTCGCACACTCCGCCCGTTTCTGGCCCCTTGATGGACGATGCTCTCCGCATAGAGTCCCGCAGCTTGTTCGAGAAGAAGCGACCTCGTGTAGACGATGACTCTCACTCATCCGAGGGCCGTGATCTCGTGCGTCCTCGGCCGCTCTCATGGCACCCATCTGCTCCAGTGGAGCCCCCCTTGCAAGCTGCCCAGCTCCGTTCTATTGGAGTGCACTCCATACTGAATTCCCCCGCAAAATCTGCTCCTCTTTCTCTGATGCCTTCGGGGGGAGATAGCCTGAGTCTGGCGAGACATCAGTCATCCATCCCTCCGTCTTCTTCTGCACCTACCTCTCATGTCCGAATGCCTTCATCGCCAACAGTTCGTCTTGCTTCCCCGTCAATACATCACGCCAAACGGCCTTCGCTCTCGCCTGGGTCGGTGAACCGTCAGATCATCTCGCCTGGCTCCCCCACAGCTCGATTTGTCGGATCCACAGGGCCGTATGCTAGAAAGCCTAGTACTGTGCAGTCTCCCCTGGCTCAGGAGTCACGGCCGGGACTGTATGGGACGTCATCCGGGTCGCCTTTGCCCATGGAAAACGCTCCAGTGAACCCAATCCATACATCCGAAACCATGGCCCCAGCTCCAGTTTCCATCCACTCAACCCCAACCTTTCACAGTCGCCGGACGAGCGCAAATCCGACCCCTACTCCCAGCTCCCAAGAGACGAGCCCCACGACTCCCGTCTCCGTCTACAGTCCGTTTGGTCGAGCATCACCAGCACTTGCTGGGATGTCCATCCCACAACCTGCACCATCGTTCGCTAATTCCCCCATATATGGGACGGCAGAACCGGTTAGTCGATTGTCGTCGGTTGCAGGCGATAGGCCGGCAGGAGACGAGCGAACCGGCATGGGAGGACCTCCCACGAATGCCCCTCCTCTGCCCGGGATGATCCCTTGCATCTTGGATCTCAAGTCCGGGTCATCCAGCCAGGCAGAGAAGCGGAAGGCAAACAGCGACGCCTCGAGAAGGTTCCGCAATCGGAAGAGAAATGAGATACAGATGGAGCAAAAGATCACGGCACAGCAGGAGGAGATCCGGAAGCAGCAGGAGGCGTTGCAGAAACAGGCGCAGGAGATTCGGGCGCTGATGCAGGAACGCGACCATTATCGATCCGAGCGGGACTTTTACCGAGAGCATGTTACCCGACTCGTACCGCCAGGGCAGCTTCCAGCGCGGCCACCATCCCCTCAAGTGTATCGATCGATTCCAGAGCGGGAAGCTGAGACAAGGTGGTCTGGTGCAGAGACCAGAGGTGCCGTGCATGCAGCAGGAGGACCGGCCGGAAACCCGCCAGCCTCCAACGCAGTTTCTGGGTCGTCTGTCAGACAAGAGAACTGGCACAACAGTCTCTCGTATCCAGTGACTGCTGAACCTCATGCCATGCCTCATGAGCAGCAGGCGAAGCCACTGCCCCAGCTGTCTGCGAATTGGACGCGTTCCTAAGTGGACCAAAGGCACCCAGCAGACTGAGTCTGTGAACCTCTGCTTATTGTCCACAGAGTGCTTAAAACAGAGCCATTGAATGGTACTTCTGGCTCATGTATTATCCATCTCATTTGTGATTTTTTCTTTCCTTACTGTGTTGTCCATCAAGATTGTTGCTGTCACTTTTTCCTTAAACATAGGCATCGTGCTTATTGGGAGCGTTCTCTGCGAGAAAAGCTTGCATCCTCATACTGATTGATCGGTACATTGACTGTGCCTTGAAAGGCTGAGTGCTTATATCCATCGATACCTTGATATGAATGTCCTGGATTTCTGGGAGGCCGAATTGTGATCCGGATTGCGTATATTGCCGCTGTACATACCTCAGAAAGCCCTTCTTAAGCTGGCAGGCGTTTGGATAAGAACCTGATGCATTACCCTCATTTGATTGATCTCGTCCTTCATCCACTCAACTACCTCAATATAGAACGATTTGTCCACCGGTTCATTCAAACCATCACATGCTGCCTTACATACAGCGACTCCATTAGCTCCATAGTCACAGCTGATCCGTGACTCCGAATGCAAATCCTGCATCTCTTTCCCTGGTCATGGCATACGTCACCAACCGAGGCCACAAATGGCTCGATGGTTATCGCACCTAATCTGCCTGAAACAGTTGCTCCGAATTCGAGCATGCGCTGATCCCTCCGTTCAGAGCTCCCGTGACCAGACCCCCTGGAGCCCGTGTTAGTCGCAGAATCTTCATCTGCAGGGTTCATGTGTGCAATCCGCTAGCAAAGGTAATTAGATTGAAGGAACCGGCTCTGCATGGATGATGCTGTAGGGAGCACATTAGTGTTATTCTGGAAGCTGGTCCGGTGCACACGTTGAGGTAGGAGGGTGTTCGATTGGTATGCCCGAAAATTGAAAACAGAAGGCAGATGAGACCGCGGGCGCTATAGGGCCTGGTCGAGCGATGTTTGATCTCTTCATAGTCGTATTCACTCCATACAGCCGTGTTGTTCCTGATCTATAGCTGGACTGCTATTGTAGAAGGGTTGCCCTGGAAGGCAGCGCAGTGTTGCAAATCAAGTATTGATAGATGTTCGTTGAAGTATGCTTTTTTTTATCAACATCCAAGCAATCCCTTCCAAGTATGGATAATGGATCTATCTCGGTCCTCCAGATCAATCTAATCTTCGGAGTACGGACTACGGAGTTGCAATTCCAGGCATCCAGGCCCCCACATCGTCTCCCGGCTCGGTACCTTAGGCTAACCAATTCAGGCCGTCAGGCATTCTCCAACCACCACAATGGCTGCACCCACGTGGTTTCCCGCGCAGCCTATCAGACACGCGCACATCACCACACTTCGGACAGCTTCGACTCTACTATGGCTTCCCTCCTCGGATCTAGTCTCTGTGTGCCACCGTCCTCGGTTCGGATTCGTCTCTTGCTCTCACGCGACAGACTTGCGGATCTCTCTCCACTGACGCCCGGCTACCCGTCCTGCGAGGCTATCAACTTGCTAGCGGCGGAGTGGTGCTGAGCGATAGCCTGGATAGGCAAGCTGAGCCGGGTTCCTCAGCGTGCGACGTCCGTTTCGTATCCGGAAGCGAAGTGCAGTATGCGTCCGGCGAGAAGCGATGAAGGAGCTATATAATGGCCGGCGTGTCCGGCGAGAGGGGGATGATTTGCAGTTCAGAGTGAGAGTTGGGACTTTCAGGGACGAGAGAATCGTGATTGTCGGCATTATGGGGGCTCTTACTTTCCTGCTTTCGGTGATGTACCTGCTTTCAGGGTGAGTGGCTCGATGCTAGGGCTGGGGTTGCTGATGCTGATGCTGACTGGGGTAGTGTGGCTGGGGCACCGAGTTCGGGCTGCAGCGCCGGTTCTGGCTCCAAGGCGTGCGATACGGTAGAGCTCGGGTACCAGTGCTCTCCTGGGACTTCTCATCTGTGGGGCCAGTACTCGCCGTTCTTCTCGCTCGAGGACGAGCTGTCTGTGTCGAGTGATCTTCCCAAGGATTGCCGGGTCACCTTTGTGCAGGTGCTGTCCCGGCATGGGGCGCGGTACCCGACCGCGTCCAAGAGCAAGAAGTACAAGAAGCTTGTGACGGCGATCCAGAAGAATGCCACCGAGTTCAAGGGCAAGTTCGCCTTCCTCGAGACGTACAACTACACCCTGGGCGCGGATGACCTTACTCCCTTTGGGGAGCAGCAGATGGTGAACTCGGGAATCAAGTTCTACCAGAAGTACAAGGCTCTTGCGGGCAGTGTGGTGCCGTTCATTCGCTCCTCGGGCTCGGACCGTGTCATTGCTTCTGGGGAGAAGTTCATCGAGGGGTTCCAGCAGGCGAAGCTGGCGGATCCTGGCGCCACGAACCGCGCCGCTCCTGTGATTAGTGTGATTATCCCGGAGAGTGAGACCTACAACAACACGCTGGACCACAGTGTGTGCACGAACTTCGAGGCGAGTGAACTGGGGGACGAGGTCGAGGCCAACTTCACTGCGCTCTTCGCACCTGCGATCCGTGCCCGCATCGAGAAGCATCTTCCTGGCGTGCAGCTGACAGACGATGACGTCGTCAGTCTGATGGACATGTGCTCGTTCGATACGGTAGCACGCACCGCCGACGCGAGTGAGCTGTCGCCGTTCTGTGCAATCTTCACTCACAACGAGTGGAAAAAGTACGACTACCTCCAGTCCCTGGGCAAGTACTACGGCTACGGTGCAGGCAACCCTCTGGGGCCGGCCCAGGGTATAGGGTTCACCAACGAGCTGATTGCCCGTTTGACAAATTCGCCAGTGCAGGACCACACGAGTACCAACTCCACTCTGGACTCCGACCCAGCCACCTTCCCGCTGAATGCCACCATTTACGTTGACTTTTCGCACGACAACGGCATGATTCCCATCTTCTTTGCCATGGGCCTGTACAATGGCACCGAGCCTCTGTCGCAGACCTCGGTGGAAAGCACCAAGGAGTCGAACGGGTATTCGGCGTCCTGGGCGGTGCCTTTTGGCGCGCGAGCCTACTTCGAGACAATGCAATGCAAGTCGGAAAAGGAGCCTCTTGTTCGCGCTTTGATCAATGACCGGGTTGTGCCTCTGCATGGCTGCGCTGTTGACAAGCTGGGTAGATGCAAGCTGAAGGACTTTGTCAAGGGATTGAGTTGGGCCAGGTCTGGAGGGAACTGGGAACAATGCTTCTCTTAGTTGGTAGTTCTGTTATTTTTTAATTAGATTGTCATTGCTCAATAGTGATCGCGGTGAACAGCATTCACTTTCACTTACCCTTGAATCAATTGCACTTCGATGCACTTGGATGCACTTGGTGTGTTGCCTCACCTCTCATATCTTCTTTCATAACTCTCTTTTCAACCTCTCATCCCTCGGTCACAAGCCGCCGCATAAAATGCCCATCTGCGACATAACCCACTACCTCCCCATCTCAACCCTCCCACCCCCCGAAACCGACGCAGCCTACTACCGCAAACCCATCCTCGTGCTCATCGTCTCCTACAGAATCAACACCTGGAACAAATACCTCTCCCTCATCCGCAAACTCCAGCGCGAGGCCCGCCTCCTCTGCGTCACAAACGTCTACGACCTGAACGAGCTCGTCGACGACCACGCAGACGAGATCGCCGGCTTCGTCGTCACGACGGGGGACATCCTGCTCGCGGACGAGTACGTCCCCGTCTATCCCCGTCGCCCTGACCCTCAACACCACACCCACCCTCAAAACCACACTCAAACCCAACCCATAAGTGAAGAGACGATTGAAGGCCTCCCCACCCGCCTCGCCACCCTCCTCAAACACCCCTCCCACGCCTACTCCGTCGTCTTCGCGTTCGAGTTCCCCCGCGCGGCGGCGAAAGACCCCACCTCGTTTACGGCGTTCATGGGCGGGTTCTTCGGGGT